AGGGAGGGAGGGAGGGAGGGAGCAAGCGAGGGAGGGAGGGAAATAGGATGCAAGTTTCGGTGGCTTGAGCAGCCGAAGCCGGGAACGCTAAAGATTCTAGACTTTCCTCTCCGCAGGTGCTCCTCCGCTTCGAGCTACCACTTGCGCTGAGGGGCCTTATCCTGGTCTCTAGCTTGGATTCACAGCTTCGACACAAGGCACAAAATTTGCACATCTGTCGCCTCTCCCACGGCGCCCTAAGGCAACAGCTGCTGGAAGGCATGATACAGGCATAGAGGAGGCATCTTGGCGACCGTGCTCACAATTGTCTTCATCTTCATCACCCATCATCGTCGTAATGCTCACGTTCCCCCATCCGCCCCTGCTGCCTCCTCCTCCTCCTTCTCAGCATGGATATGCTCCTCATCATTGCTGTACTTGTCGGCGTTTTTGTCGCCAAGGCTGTACTGATGTTCATCTGCATGTCTGCCATCATCATCATCATCATCATCATCGTCGTCATCACCGCCATCGCCATCGCCCTCGCCATCGCCATCGTCGTCATCTTCAGCATCACCAGAACCAACATCATCTCCATACTCATCATCATCACTGTCATCATCACCACCATCACTATCACGGGCATCATCATCATCATCATCATCGTCGTCGTCACCGCCATCGTCATCATGCTCATCATAATCAACCACCTGGGCCTCGCACAGCTCCCTGCGCCGCACCGGCGAGCCGATGGCTGCCTCCCCTGCGGTGGCTTAGCGCTTTGAGTTGGGATTGTCCGGTTTCGTGTCTCAAGTTCAGAGCTGGAAGTCTTGGTCAGGGATTTGCAATCGCGGGCTCGGAGCTGTTCCTGAAACAGGCCCGCTCAGACACAAAACCCCTTGGTGCAAGGTTACATTGCATGATGTCAAGGTCCGTTCCGACTAGAACCCTAAGTTCCTTCACGTGGCAACCTTTCATCCTACATGAACCCAGTACGCCGAACCCCTTACCTGGTGCATGCAAAGACCCCAAAACTCCGAGTCTTGCGCCTAACGACCTCAAGAACTTTTCAAAGGTAGGCTCCCGGCGCCACACCGACGGATACCTAGGCTCCATGCATATGGAAGCAGTGGATTGGGGCAGAGGAACATAGGGTTGCCGTACTCTGTGCTACGTGTCTAGTCCTGCACATCCAACATTTACTCGGGCGGAACGGACCAAACCGCAATCAGTTCAGCAACACCAGAAACATGCGAGAACAGCAAAGTGTCGCCTTGAAGACGAGTTTGT